GAGAGAGAGAGAGAGACAGATAAAGACAGAGAGAGAGGGTATCTCCTTAATTAAATGGGACACACAAACTGCACTAGAGGAGGGCCAATTTACTAAAGAGGAAAATTAGGGAGTGTGGAAACAAGACTTCATCTTTGAGAAACAGCTTCCATTAAGTAGTTTCCCTTAGCTCAGAGGAGTTTCTCAGCTGTTACAGTAATTTAGCACAAGCTTGAAGTGCTGTAGGAAAACCTGCAAACTACAAAATCCATCTTCAAGACATAAATCCTCGTTTTTATTTATTTATTTAGCAGACATGTTGCAGTTCTGCACACCCTGCAGTCAATGCACATACGTGTGTTAAAAGCATTGGCAGCCTCACAGATAGCCTGTGTGTCAGGGGATATGTGAGGAATACAGCAGGACTCATTATAATATGGATGGAGGAAATGTTGAACACACAAGAACAGTAAACAACGCCACTGCTGCCAAAACACATGTAAATAAACAGCTTTAAATCGAACAAACAATGAAATGTGGCATCTTGAAAACATGCTTTCCAAGTCTGCCTGCGACGGATTTACATTTTTTAGAGCCTCTTAAAGTGTTTGATACAGTAAAATAAGATTTACCTTCCAGTTAACAGAGCCACAGGCAATGTGACAAGAACTGCTGCATCCAGTGAGTGAGAGTAATGTAATTAGTTACTTAATTAAATAGGACTTCTTTTGTGAGGAAATCGAAGTGAAATAACCTCACAAGAAACAGACCTACAGATAAGCAGGACATCTATCTAGTATATCTATCTATTAAAAACAAGCATGGCATTCTATATATATTCATATATATACATATATTAACATCTTTTAATATATGTACTGTAGTTATCTAATAAGCAGGCGAGTGTAGAAATCAGTGGGAAAATGATTAGTCAATTAACACATTACTGGCTCACTGGAAAAGTGATCAGCAGCAATTTTCCTAATTATTGATCACTGATGTCATTTGTTTGTGCCAGCAGCTTCTCAAATATACACATTTATTTACTGTAAATTAAATCTCTGGGTTTTTAAGTGTTTACCAGACGAAACAAAGACATTTGAAGACTTTACTTAGACTTTACTTAGACTCTCTTTCTGGGAAATTATATTAAATATTATTATTTTAATAAATATTATTATTATATATATATATATATATATATATATTATATAATTTTTTAGATACAGTGTTAATTGGTTAACCAGAAAGAAGCAATAGGTCAGTTATCAGTGGATAATGAAACTAACTATTAGCTGTAGCTGTGGTAGAAATCTGAAAAAAGAAAAAGTAAATGAACAGAAACACATTATTTCATATTTAAAGAAAAAGACTCAGGAAGAGAGGACTGTAGACTTGCAGTAGGTGGATTTCTTTTTCCTTTTAGTGCTCAGTTCAGTTCATCAAAATGAAATGTAATCGGACTACTTCACAGAAAGACACACTATTAGCCTTTTGAACCTTCCTTTACTCTAATCTTTTATTTTTAATTGGTTGTAGAACAGAGTCTTTATCGTCCTGAATCCTTGCAAAGTTCACAGCCTTGTTTAAATAAAAAAATAATCAAATGTGTATTCCTGCGACCTTGAATTTACCCAAACAAGCACTTTTCTACACATCACCCAGTGTGTATTGTGTAAGTGTCCTAACCAGGATTACCTCTTTTTATATGCCATTTGGCTGGCACTTTCATCCTGAGCTCCTTATGGACCTGAGAGTGCATACATGTTGTTTGATCCGGTGGGAGTGAAGCCTCTATCCCTGCCGCTGTTAACACTGTGTTCTACATGCTGACCTACTCGAGAGAATACAGCCGTGAGCCTGTCAGTACTGTACGGTGCACATAAAGAGAAAACCGCGTCGAGGTCAAACCATACGGGCTGTTAACAGTTTATGAAGTGTTTAAATCGCTGATATTCTGTGTATAATACAGCATGCAACCGTATCTTAAATCCAACCTGGTGTAAACACTTGACTTGTGTGCAGATGGTTTGACTTGTAGATATCCATTGTTTCCTACAGCGACTGAAACCCTCTCTAATAGCATTTCTTCTCCTGAAAGACTCCTCATTGCGTTACGTGCAGTCTTTGTAAGTACGTTTTGTTGTGTGAGGACTCAGGAAGAGTAGCTGCTACCTTGGTGACAGCGAATGGGGATCCAAGAATAAAGAATAGAGGAAAAATCACAGTAGCGATGTGATGATTAGTGTGTTTGTCCTGAACCATCGGGCACAGTGTGTTCACTGTGAGATCGACTATACCTTTGCACGTGCAAACGTAACTAGAGATGTAACACTCGACTCATGATTGGATTCAGTTCAGAATACACTTTTCTCATCATTTTTTTTTTTAGCAAAATGATATTGAAGACTGAAAAAGATTCCTTTATTTATATAAAATCTACAAAATCTATTTTCTCTCACATTTTCTTTATCAAATTCTAAAGTCCTTTTTATTTCTGAGGTAAACTGTGTAACGCGTTTGCACCTTGATACCACGGTGACTCTTTAACCGCTTTGTATCTTCACATATTTGTACTGCGATTTAACTGTCTATATATCTTAATATATCTTTACATTCCCAAACATAACATGTGAGCTTGTTGGGTTAGCCCCTGAGTCATGTGTTAGTCACACAGTTGGTATGAATGATGTAAATGAGAAACCACAGCAGCACACTGAACAAAGAGTATTCATCATTAAAAAAGAGTGTATTGACATTGTATAACCAGTTGAGTAAAGTTATGTACTCAGACGCAGTCAAACATGCTAATGCATTTGCAATAACATACTCCTACCTGAGGGTGAAAGGAATTAGAGGAAGGCCATATGAATAAAATCTTATCACAGCATATTTAATTCTTACACATTTAGTATGCAACAATATATAGAAATATGTATTGTATTATAGTTTAACTTATTGAATTTAATCCCATTAATGCACTAAATCTGCAAATGCAATATCCAGAGTCCTGTTCATTAATTTATATAATTAGTTTATATAATATAATATATAACAGTTAGTTTATATAATATAATATAATAAAGGCTTGATTAAAATCAGATATCTTAAATGAGGATGATTTTTTTTAACCGACCCTTGAATTTCCCTCAGGATAAATAAAGTATCTGTCTATCCTCATGGCCGATGGTATTGAGTTAATAACCAGTTTGTCGGCTTCATATTCTCACCTTTTATCAGGTTTTATCAGCTTTTATCAGCTTTGTGCAAAGCCAGGTAGAGGAAGAGCCACCATCTCTACTACATGTTGAGCCCATTTCTAACAGTGGAGCTTTGTATTGATGTGATTTCTGTGTGGTGAGGAAGTTACAGTGAACTGTCTGTACCGGGCATTAGCAGCAGCTGACCAGAGCTCTTCATCACTTGTTCATATCTGATTCCCGTCTCGCTGTAGGTTTGTGCAAGCGTGGCTTTGGGCCCTCATTCAGCAGCAAAAACACATTTTAGAAATACATTTGTATAGATTTCCCTCACTGAGCAGTTTCTCCACATCAGTAAACACAGGTAGAGTCACTCTGTGGCCCAGATTGATCTTAGCTGAAGATAGCCAAAGAAGGTCCTCCTGAACATGTTTCCTCTTCAATTGTTCAAAGGACATGAAAGCTCCTTCCAGGGCTCTTACCCAGGGGACTGCTGCCGTCCCAGAGGGGGAGCGGGAAAAATAGATCAGGGACGATAAAAGACACATTTTGGGACGGTTGCCAGACGCAAGGCAGACCCTGACTGAAGAAACACACTGCTCTCTCACACACATTGGGAAGAGTAACTGCGACAGTGACATCTGAAGTGTACCTGCGCTGCTGTCCGACCATTACAATGGCGTCCTGAAGTGGCGGTGGGATTTAGCGCTTTCTGGTGTGAAGACACTTTCTCCTCCTCTCAGAGTGAGGGATGTTGGAGGCGTTAGATTAGGGTTACATCCATTTTTTAACTTCACAGATGTTGACTTATGGATTGAATGTGTGTGATATGAACGTGTAACAGATGTGTCAAGAACACGTGGGCTGATAATAATGTAATCTTTGTTTTGTCTATTATTGATGCCACTCAGAGCTTTTAATTATCAAAATACTTTATTGTAGAAAAATGTATAATTAGGACTGCCAGCATTTACTTGGGGATGGTTTAAGTTGTATTTCGGGACAGAAGAAATGTAGAGCTCTGCCTTTTTCATAACTATCTTCCAAAGTCTCTAGAATCTGGTTACGTAGAGTCATGGGAGTTGATATTGTCTCAGAGGTGTCACTCTGTATTTTAATCAGATGCTTCAGAATGGGATCGTCTGTCCTGTTGGATGTTTCCGGAGGTCCATTCCTAAATAAAATCCCGGAATACCTTTTCTTTCAGGGAATGCAATCCAATTTGTATCCAGGAGGGGAAACTGTCGCCCTCAAAAAAGGATGAAATAAATAGCATTTGAGCTGCCAAATAATACTTTTTTAAAAACGGGGTAATTGAAGGCCCCTTAATCTATAATCCAATGTTAATTTTTCCATAGATACCCTGAGGATTTCAAAAACAGGAAAAAAGACTGGAAACGAAACTGCAGCCTCAGTAGTTACTCTGCCCATTAGAGCGATCGGAAAACTCATCTATCTATGTGGACCATCTTCAATACTGAGCAATGGGAGGTGATTAAGTTTGTACAAACTGTTAAGGTCGTCACCTACAGTTATGTAATGATTATTTAATCCACCAGTATGTTGTAA